ACATACATATATATACGTATATATATACGTATATATACATACATACATATATATACATACATATATATACGTATATATATACGTATATATACATACATACATATATATACATACATATATACATACATATATATACATACATATATACATACATACATATATATACGTATATATACATACATATATATACGTATATATATACACATATATATACATATATATACATACATATACATACATACATATACATACATACATACATATACGTATATATACATACATATACGTATATATACATACATGTATACATACATACATATACATACATACATATACATACATACATACATATACGTATATATACATACATGTATACATACATACATATACATACATGTATACATACATACATATATATACATACATATATATACATACATACATATATATACATACATATATATATATATAAAACACATATATATATATACTCCATATATTAAGGATTGACCGATTATCAGCTGCGATATTTTTTATGATTATCAGAATTGTAATTTGTTTTATCCGATAGCTGATTAAATAAATTTATATAAAAATAAAGGGCCTGTAGAGAAAGTTTAAACTGGCATACCGACTATTTGTGTAGTATACAAGTCTTTTTAAAAACAATTGCACATCTGCCCAACAAAGTCCAAAAACAGCTAATTTGCATGTAGATATCTGTTTCCTGTTTGTTTTTACTTGCCCAAAATCAAACTGCCTTCGTGGATTAATAAAGTTGAATTAAATTGAACTGAATTGGATTAACAAACTACTCAGTCCAGCATGGACACAAGGCATTATGGGAAGTGTGAGCCGTCCCGAATGATACAACCACACACCAACCTCTAGTTCTTTAAAGAGAACTCGATGCTTCAAGTGTTAAAGCTGCATTCTCTCTAGCGTCCACCAGGGGGCGACTCCTCTGGTTGTGTAGAAGTCTATGAGAAAATGACTCTACTTCTCTCTTGATTTATTACCTCAGTAAACATTGTAAACATGAGTTTATGGTCTCAATCTCTAGTTTCAAGTCTTCTTCAATACAGCATGATGTTCATTTAGTACATTATGGTCCATTTAGAGTCACACAGACCATAAAGCAGGGGATGCTTTAGGGCGGGGCTACACGGTGATTGACAGGTCTCTACCAGAGACGTATACGGCGTCTCTACGTCACTCCTCATTGCAAAAAATATGTCCACGAATATCAACCGACATATCCACATCGGAATTATTTTACTCCCCAATATCAGTATCAGCCCCAAAAATTGGCAAAATATTGGTCCGACTATAAACACAATTACTTGTATTTTTACTAACATCATAAGTACATGTCTCACAAATACTGCCATACTGCTACCAGTAGTACTATAAGTAGTGGTTATGACTGTACTAATACAAGTAGTAAACTACATAAGTCATAACGGGTAACTACTTTTCTCAAGTCATCATTTATAATATAGTATTTAACTGATTCAGAGTAGTTCTTGTAACAATAAAAGTACCAGCAGATGTGGTCTATGTAGTACTGGTTGTAATACAATAGCACTATTACCAGCTGTAGCAGAACAGAAGTACTCCAGTTGTACTGTACAGTAGCCGTAGACCTGCAGTAGAATTTGAGTAGTATACTGTACAGTAGCAGGAAGCAGTCGTACTGTAGTAGTACAGCAGCAATAAGTACAGCAGTCGTGCTGTAGAGTAGTAGTACAGTGGTCTTCCTGTACCTTAGCAGTAAGCATTAGTACTGTACAGTAGTAGTACTGCAGTAGTACTGTAATGTTACACTAGTAGTGTTTCTGTGAATTATTTGTGACAATAGCAGCAGCTCTGTTAGCCGTTAGCTCATCACATCACGGCTAACACTGACCCGCTACTTTATCTCCATTTCCCCAGAATACATCCAGAAATATCCTCCGTCTGTCGGTTCATTAGGTTCATTAAAGACCGTCCTCCTCTTCTCGTCACCGTTAAACCCGGTTAAACGTCCACCGGTCTGTCCACAGACACGTCCAACAACCGACATCCAACCAAAACAAACGGTTAGCATGGAGCTAAGCTAACATTGAGCTAGGCTAAGCTAACATGGAACTAAGCTAACAGCACGGCCGTTCTTACCTTTCTCGATTCGGAGAAAAGTCCGCTTTAGACGGTGGAGGTTTAACGGAACATCACCGGGAAAAACTCACGCAGCCGGTAAACGAACCGTTAGACGCGGCGGAGGTCGCACATGTCTAACGGCCACGGCGGGAAAAGTGTTTCACAAAGTCCGAGAGAAGTTTAACTAACTCGGCCTTATTGTTATGGAGAAACTGCTGCCGCTGCGGTCCGCCATCTTGTGTCTGTGTGTGTGTAAAGATGTACTCCAAAGAAAAGTACTTTTACCACAATGTACAATATACTCTGTTACAAGGAAGTAATATTTACAATAAATAGTCCTGCATTCAATACTTATTAAAAAGTACAGAAGTACTGTCAGCTTCATGTCAAGTATCAGTCGTAAAAGTACACAAGTATTCTCAGGTTTATGTGGTAAAAGTGTGAGTAGTCAAAGTACTAAAGTATCATCAGCTTTGTACAGTAAAAGTATACAAGTATGATCGGGTTCATGTAGTTAAAGTATCAGCAGTAAAAGTACTACAGTATTATCCGCTTTATACAATAAAGGTATCGAAAGTAGACATGTATTCTTAGTTTCATGTAGTTAGAGTATCAGCAGTACATAAGTATTATCAGCTTCATGTAGTAAAAGTGTTAACAGTAAAAGTACACAAGTATAACCAGCTTCATACAGTTAAAGGTATCAGTAGTAAAAGTACACACGTACTATCTTCGTATAGTTATAGGACCTTTATTGTGAAGGGCCAGTGGGAAGTTGTTTCTCTCGCCAACTTCACAAAACGGTATTACCCAGGCTTTTACTTTGAAGGTCCCAGCTGGAAGTTGTTATGAATGTTTTAAAGATGGCGCCGGTTCTGGACGTTGCGGACAGCTCAGTGGTTTTTGCTCCGTTTAAGGTTTAACCGCCGTTAATCACGAACTGAGAGCTCCGGTTTGGGTGTCATGAGGAGCCGGTCACCGTGCAGTGTTACCGGATGCCTCGTGTGAACCGGACGGTCGTTTTAACGCTGCTGATCGTCAGCAGCTCCGTGTTTCTGCTATTCCAGTTATATTACTACCGGAAGTACGTCAGCCAGGTGAGCCACTTAAACAGGAACAAGCAAAAAGGAACCATTCACATCCATCGATCAACTGATAGAAGAATCAATAAGAGAAGAATCAATAAGTCAGTCATGGGGAATTCTTGTAAACAGATAATATTATTGTAATCACTGAATCATGTTTGTAATATTTGCTGGAAAAAAGTTATGTCAACATTATTGAAACTGGACTTTATTTTGTCAGTATAATAAAAGCTAATATTGTAAAAGCAAAGATTATAGAATACAAATATTGGAAATGTTAATTTTCTAAAACTTAAATAACGTAAAAGCCAGTATTATGAATTATAAATATTACCTCAATATAACAAAGTATCAGCTTTTAGCAAAGCAACTACTTTTTTTTACATTTATCATCATCAGATTTGCCAACATGCCTTTCTTCTGCAGCCTGGGCCTTACATCCTGAGCCGGACAGGTCACCTGACCGCCAACGACCTCCAATGGGTGAGCCAGTATCGCGTTAGTATTAGTGTTAGCCTCGCTGTTATGATCACTGTTAGCATTAGTGTTAGCATTGCTGTTCGTAGTGCTCTCTGCAGTGATGACAGATGAAGAAAGCTTTTATTTTACTTCCTATCCTGGCAATTGTTGCTATAGTAACCTCCCTTCTCTGTCTGTTCTCCACAGCAAACGGTGAAGAAGTTTCTGGGGTTAGCTCGTCACTTCGGGCTGCCGCTGTTCCTCGCCGACACCGCCGCCCTGACGCTGCTCTCCCATGATGCTTTGCGGCAGCGTGACCGGCTGGTGCGTGAGCCGCACTGCAGCTTCCTGTGCACCGGCCGGCCAATCACATCCTTCGCTCTGCACGCCAACCTGTGGAAGTACGAGGTGAGCGTGTGATGTGTGAAGAGCACAGATTTCACTAGCGTTATCTAACAAACAATTGAACACATAGCTAGCTAGCTTTTGTGAATCCGACAGCCTCCCGATGCACCTTCTTTAACAGAGCATCTTAGCCGAGACGTTTCTAAAAGTACGATTGTTCATTTGTTCTTGCTAGCTAACAATAAAATAAACAAAGCCACTAACAGTAACGTTAGCTAACGGATGTTTACGTGGCAATTATTAAAAGTGGAATGGGCCGAATCATTTTTATCCCTTTTCCAGTAAGATATTTCATTTTAATTTAATTTTTTTTGTCTTTCAGCCTGGCTTCCTATTGGCTGCCGAGCAGAAAGGCTTCGAGCTGCTGGAGCTGCGAGGAGAAGACCCGCGATTGGCCAGTCTGGACAACCTATCAGGAGAGGAGATCCCCCTCCACTTCCTGTTCCGCCTCCACGGTTATGTCATACAGGTGAGTGAGTGTCACTGGTCAACACCTCACAACAGCAGACAGTACGTTGGCAGCCATCTTTGACATGATAGCTTTCAGGTGTGTTTGGGCTCAGGTGTTTCACCTTGTTTCTCTCTTCCCTTTAATTTCATATTGAAATGTTTTCATTTTGTTCAGATTGATTTTTATATGATTGGGAATTAATTACTTTCTCCCAGGTGGTGTTAGATATTAATAAATGTATTTTGTCCCAGGTGGTGTTCCTGTATGAACGGAGCGGGAACTACCTGTGGCACGGAGCGCTGCGCCTCAAATCCAACATTGACCGAAGCTTTGCTCCCTTCAAACTGCTCGACTACGGCCGTTACTCTGGATCCTACGACAGGTGAAACCTGGTTCAGTTCTGCTCTGAAGGAACACTTTGTATTGCTGTTAGCCTCACTGTTAGCATTAGATTTAGCCTCACTGTTAGCCTCACTGTTAGCATTAGATTTAGCCTCACTGTTGGCATTAGTGTTGGCCTTGCTGTTTCCAACAGTCTGTTGCAAATAAAGAAATAAAAACTGACCTGACACAGTGAAGGTCTTATATTCAGTGTAAAGACCTTTCATCAAGGGAGGACGACTCTTTAAAACATGCAGTTAAATAACGGAACACAAGATTAATCCTGAAATGGTGTCTGACAACTGAACTGAAGGCTATTTTTTTTAAATTCTTTAGCAATGTTTGCTTCACTGCCAGTTAGAGAACTAAACCACGGGGCAGCAGGTTTCATCTAAATCAAGATGTCGTTAATAAAACAGCTGATTAACATTATATCTGTTAGTTATAGATGATGTTGTTTTGTGTGGTCGCCCCCTGCAGGCCGGAGCTGGTCCTGACGGTTCTGGACGGTCTCGACGTTCGAATCCCGCGCAACATTTCCCATTTTCTGTCCGAGCAACGACAGGCTAGATTCTTGGAGTGCCGTTACCGTGATGCCCGCAACTTCCTGCAGGTCAGACAGACGGGATACAGGGCTTTTATTGTGAAAGGGAAGGGGGGAAATTAATTTAAACCGTCTAATGGAAATATAAGTCGTCAAAAATGAAAATAAACGTTCTCTCTCTCTCTCTCTCTCTCTCTCTCTCTCTCTCTCTCTCTCTCTTCCCCTCCC